TTTAATCCCCAGGATCATAAACAAACACACACACACACACACACACACACACACACAGTATAACAGAATATACAAAATGAAAATTATTGGCAATACTAAAAGTTGAAGAAGACACTGCACTCTCAAACACTATTGGTGGATATTTAAAATGGTACAACTACTTGGGGAAAAGGTTTGGCAGCTTCTTAAAAATATACTTAATAGCATAATAATTTCTTTCCTAGGTATTTACCTAAGAGAAATAAAAACAGACACCTATGCAAGATTCCATAATGTTCAAAACACCTTACTCATAAATGGCACATCAATAAAATAAATAAATATTAGCACTAAGGAAGAAACAATTCAAATGTCCATCAACAAAACATTGGAGAAATCATCCAATGGTCCACTACTCAACAATAAAGAGAACAAAACATTGATACATACAACAATATAAACCTCACATATGTTAAAGGAAAAGAAAACAAAAAGTACATACTGTATAAATTCCATTTATATGAAATTTCAGGCAAAAATAATCTCAAAAAATCAGATTAAAAAAGCTGATGGGGGGAGCATGGGGTGACAGCACTGGAGAACAGCACCAAAGGAACTTCAGGAAGTGACAAAAATGTGCTGCATCTCAACAAGGAGGTGAGTTGCGTGGATGTATCCATCTTATCAAATTTATTGAATTACATACCTAGGATTTATGCATTTCTCTTTGTAAATCCTACCTTAAAAATATGAAATTGGAGCTATAGATGTGGCTGGGGTAGGATATTTCTTTTTTCCTTCTATCTTTTTGAGACAGGGTTTCACTACGCAGTTCAGACTGGCGTTGAACTCACTTTGTACCACAGGCAGGCCTTGAACTCAGCAATTCTCCTGCCTCAGCCTCCCAAATGCTGGGACTATAGGCCTGAGCTAAAAATAGGACTGTGTTACCATATCCAGCCAGGCAGTGTTTCTGTACCATGTGAAAGGTCCTGAGTTCAATTCTCACCAAAGGGGGGGTGGTGGTGGCTATCTCAGCTACTTGGCAGGCTGAAGTCAGAGGACTGCTTACGCTCGGGGTTGAAAGCCAGCATGGGTAACGTAAGACTCAAAAAAGACAGAGAGATACTAACACCAGACTGGTTTTACCTATTTAAACTTTCCAACAGGAGAAAACATTTTACTTTGCTAGCCTTAACTATAAGAATTGAATCACCTTAACTCAACTCCCTGGTTTTACAAATTAAAAAATGATGTCTAGAAAAGCTAGGTGCACAGTCTCATAACATAAAGGCAGAACAGATAAAACCCTACACTCCTAGCCTCTGGGGCTGGGTATTTAGCTAAGCAGCACAGCGCCTGCCTGGCAAGCGCAAGGTCATGAGTTCGATTCCTGGTACCGGAAGAAAGCCAAAAAAAAAGAATGTTACCTAGCCTCCTTCAATACTCTATAATAGCTTTTAGAGCATGTTTGGCATGTATTACTTAACGAAAACCAGTCAATGTCACTTTATATAGTATTTTACTAAAAGAAAATTGCAATTGGGCATATGATGAGAATCAAAATTGTGACACTTAAGATTGCAATCCATTTGGTACAGGAAGTATTTTTTTATAGATAAATATATCCTCCATTATAATCATGGCAATGATAAACCAGTCTGGTCCCAGTAATCAGAACCTACAAACAGATAAAGCCAGTGTGATGGCATACTCTAGTATTGGTCTCACTGCACACAAGGTATAGCTCCTATTCAGACACTCTCTGAGGGAAAACAGATTACTCCACAAGATGACAGCGAAGCCGACACGTGGCAAATTAATTTGTGTCCCACTACGCCATACCAAGACAGGAAGAAAGCAAAAATGTAAAGACAAGAAAACTTCAAAAGATTCTAAAAAATATAAAGGTTGAACTACCCCTTCTTTTTATTCTAGAGGGAAAAGGTTAATATTTTACTAATGTACCATAGAAGGACAAGGTTCACCTTATTCTCTTCCTTTACCAGCGAAAGGAACTTCTGACACTTAAGACTGCAATATCTCTGGTGTAGACAGCGCAGGAAGATTATATACTCTCCCTGCCAAACAGCTAAGTTAAAAGATAACAAAACACAAAAATTATTTATCCTTACTTGCCTGTCCCAGGACTAGGCATATGGTAAACACTAAACAAATGCTCAATGAACTACTGGAGACCTAAAACAGTGAAGAGATATTCCATATATGTACACAGGAAGCCTCAACGCTGTCATAATGTCAGTTTGTCCCACCTTGATCTACTTACTGGGTTCGATATGAGCTGAGCATGTTATCTGTGGGTTTCAACACACTGGTTCTAACATTAGCATGGGAAAAGAAAAGACCTGGAAGAGCCAAAACAACGCTGAAGGGGAAGCTGGAGAACTGACCCTCCCTAACTTTAAGAATTACTATAAAACTCCAATACTTAGGGAGTGTTGTACTGGTAGACGAACAGACAAATCAATTAATGGAACAGAATACAGAGCCCAGGACAAGAATCATATAAATATAATCAACTTAACTTTGACATTTCAATAAAAAAAAAATGGATAGTGTCTTAAACAAATGGTGCTGGA